ATCCTAAATTCACTCCGGTTGTGGAAAGCAAAATGTTATTCTTTTGGCCCAAACTTACTTTCGCTACCGTGTTGCGTCATTCATAGGTTTGTGGAAGTGAGTAATGCAGCAATAGAGGGCTTTCAAATAAATGGAGCATGTATGTGTAGGGGAGGTATTCAGAAAATGTAAAATACCTTTAAAATGTAGTGGTGCATTTTAGCGCATTCCTAAATTTAATGTAAAATCATTTTGCTGTCTCTTGACTTTGATGTGTTTATACAAAAACATTAAAATTTTTTTTACTAAGTAGTAATTGTTACTAAATACATATAAATATATATATCAAATGAAAACTATATATTTCGTTTAAGAAAATGCTATAAAACTCAAAAAGTTCGTGTTTTTGTTTAAATTGTAGGTTTTTTTTTTAAAGATCTTTTTTACGAGGGTGGGGCGGGCAGCTGTCTTGCTCCCATACCCCACACTGAGATAACTGAAATAAAAATGAGTAGCAAACCAGTATTTAAAAAAAACAACTGTAATTGAACAACGGGAAGAGATGACGTATTTTAACATAAGGAGCGGCCTATTTTTGGAAAAGTATATGTAATCGAATGCTTTATATATGTATATAGATTTGCCATAAATATATCGGATAAAAATATATTGAACGTAACTATATTTAATTGGTCTCACAGTTTTTAATAAATTTATGAAAATGACAATTTAATATTTTAAATACACTACATATCCACTTTATTATTGTACACATTTTTCTCCGGCGGGAGCACTTGACTATCTCCGGAGGTGAGTAGACCCCACCCCAAGAGATACTTGAAAGAAACAATGACTGTAGGTGTTTTTTTGAAGGAATTAAATTTGCATCTTGAGCAGTCAGAGCATTTTAGTCGAATCAAGAGAATTATACTAAAGAAATGTGCGCAAAGGAAAATTGTTCTGTGGAAGATTGTTCGAACGAAAATTGTTTCAATTGAAATTCGTTCGAACATCATTTCGTTCCAGATAAAATATGATTTTTTTTACTTGGATTTTTATACAGTCCTTTTTCTTTAAAAAAAAAAAAAAAACTGGCTAAAGAAAATTGGCTAGTGAGACCATCAGAAAATGTTAACCTTGTGATGGAAATGGTTTTTGCTTTTTCCAATTGTTTTATTTCGATCATGGAAGATTGTTCAAACGAAAATTTTTTCAATTGAAATTCGTTCGAAAATAATTTCGTTCCAAAAAAAATATGATTTTTTTTACTTGGATTTTTTAACAGTCCTTTTTCTTTAAAAAAAAAAAAACTGGCTAAAGAAAATTGGCTAGTGAGACCATCAGAAAATGTTAACCTTGTGATGGAAATGGTTTTTGCTTTTTCCAATTGTTTTATTTCGATCAAACTTCCTTGTGAACAAATGTTCGTTTAATAAAAAAAAAACGAAAAACTGGAGTTTAACAATGTTCATTTGAGCAAATTTCTTGCGTACAAATTTCTGGTTTCCCATTTTGAGGGATAAATGTTAGAAAAATTTTGATAAAAAGATAAGTCACAAAAGGTTAGTTCTTTTAAAAAATATATCGTAAGAAAATTTTCAAGGGGAAAGCTTCATTGTACTCCTTAGCTGTTGAAATTAATTACTTTTGCTACGAAATTAAGATGTCCAAAAACACAATCAATTTCAAAACTTGAGAAATATTTACAGCAACTATGTATTTTCAGAGAATGCCTAATATTTTTAATGAACTATACATTTGGCCAATAACTTTTCGAAGATTAATACAAAAATATATTTGTCCTTAGGTACTAAGCAACGGCCTTATTGTATTTGGAGACGAAAATATCCCTGGAACTCCTAATCTAAATTATGCATCAAAACAAAATATTAGTTTGATTGCCCCGTTCTGGTCAGATATTAATCCTAAGTCAGGTATGTAGAATTCAAGTTATAATGTATAGTATATTTATATATGCTACTTCATGTGTGACATTATTGCATGTAACTTACCAACAATGAATAAACATTATTTTTCCTCGTATTATTCCAAAAGTCAGCTTGCATATTTCATGAAAGATTTTAACACTTTATTATCCAAAAAAGTTGCAGTAAACACAACTTTGAATTCACATTAAAAGCCACATTAAAAAAATTGTGGAGCAAATTTTCATTCTTTTCTTTTTATGTTCTGAATTTATACATCATAAATTTGTTGATTTTTTATAGTATTATATATAAGAATGAGCTATAGTGACATAACGCCAAAGAGCCGAATATATTTTGATACGTTTGGATTCTTAAAAACAATCTTAAATATTTTCTATTATTTTAAGGCGATCAAATAAATTTACATGCACAAAATATTATTAGATTTCCGCTTTTATTTTAGCAAAAGTTTAAGTATTATTATTATGAATTAAAAATATATTTTAAGTAAGAACTAAGGAACTATTTTAACCATCTTATCCGTATGTAAAGGTTATGAAATAAATTATTAATCAAATATTATGATCTAAGAATTGCATCTTTAAATCACATTTATCGGGAAAACACAAAATCTGTCATGCTTGGTGCGTATTTTAGTGCGTTGTTAATATTGCGAAATAAAAATAACATTAATTTAAACTAGATAATTACGCAAGAAACGTCATAGCGTGATTGCCTATTTTAGCCAGAGCTCTAAATTGTGTTTTTTAAAAAGTTTTATCATTTTGCGTGACGAAACTGACAGTATGTTTTCCCCTTCTTAATAGTAAAATTAATACATATAATAGAATGATTGTTAAATTGCTAAATCTTTCTAATATTGAATACAACTTTAGCTTTTTATTTTTTTGTATTGATTATTTCAAAAAGTATACTTTAATGAAATGTATAAAGTAGTAAAAAAAGTATCCTTTAAAAATACTTTTAATACACAAATGCCGTTTAATGCAACCAGTGCAGCGAAACTACATATCCAAAAAGCATTCACTAATGCACATATTACTCATCCAAATAAGAACAAAGCATGTGAAATGCAAACAATTGTTTTTTGCGTAGGTAAAGGGGTTAAAATCCCGTTGATGATATTAATAATTTCTGTAAAACTCTGATTTGGGAAAAAAAAGGGGGGGGGGGAGAAGTAATGAGATAGTTTCATTAGACGATGACAGCACACGATACGCCTCAGAATGCATTTGACAAATAATTAACCTTATTAGGTACATATAAAGGGGTTAGGAAAAAGGGTGTGTACAATTTAAGTGGATGACAATTTCTTTAAATCCAATGATGTTAAAATTGTGAAAAATAGACGCTTTATTCTCTTTTAAGTATACCCATGAATATCAAATATATCAAAAATAAGTTTCCTAGATGATAGATAGATAGATTGATAGATATACAAATAGATAGACAGACATACAGGCGGATAGACAGACAGACAGGCAAACAGACAGACATACAGATAGACAGACATATAGACAGACAGACAGATAGACAGACAGACAGATAGACAGACAGACAGATAGACAGACAGATAGACAGACATATAGACAGACAGACAGACAGACAGACAGACAGACAGACAGACAGATAGACAGATAGACAGATAGATAGATACATAGATAGATAGATAGATAGATAGATAGATAGATAGATAGATAGATAGATAGATAGATAGATAGATAGATAGATAGATAGATAGATAGATAGATAGATAGATAGATAGATAGA